TTTTGATTAATGGTCATTCTCACAATATCTCACATCACAACTCAAACCAACCTCTCACATCTAATGAGCTTAAACTTACTGTTTGAGCAGCTACAAAATACAAAAGAGAGATGGGACCTACTACCTGCATGTAACAGTTCTCTTTTACTTGCAATAACAGAAAGGGCTACAGAGACTTAACCTAGTTCCTGCCCAAATCACTTCTGGCATCATTATATGATAAACTACGTAAAATTTTATTTTTAAAAAGATATAAAAAAAAAAACTAGGAGAATGTTATGGAATGGGTTAAATGATAGCTCTATATCCAATCAAAGGCCTTTTCTTTTGTTTTGAGACAGAGTGTCACTCTGCTGCCCAGGTTAGAATGCTGCTGTGCAATCAGCCTCACTCACAGCAACCTCAAACTCTTGGGTTCCAGAGATCCTCCTGCCTCAGTCTTCTAAGTAGCTAGGACTACAGGTGCCAACCACGAGGCCTAGCTATTTTTTCTATTTTTTTTAGTAGAGATGAGAGTCTCACTCTTGCTCAGCCTGGTCTTGAACTCCTGAGTTAAAGGGATCCTCCCTCCTTGGCCTCCTAGAGTGCTAGAGCTCTATTCAAAAAAACCTTTCTCAAATAATAAACATTTGTGTCAACATAGTAGTTACCCTTGGCGGCAGGAAGATGTGCATGTGTGGGGTGTCCTGCTTTTCTCTCTGTCGTGGGTAAATGGTGCTCATTTCATTATTCTTCTAATCATACATAGACATCGTAATACTTTGATACATGAAATATTCCACAAGAATCATACTGACCTCTAGTCCTCCCTCTAACCATTGGCCAATCTCCCTCCTCTTCAGTGAAGCATCTAGGAACACTTCCCTTTCTTTCTTTCTTTTTTTTTTTTTTTTTTTTTTGAGACTGAGCCTCAAGCTGTGGCCCTGGGTAGAGTGCCATGGCATCACAGGTCACAGCAACCTCCAACTCCTGGGCTGAAGTGATTCTCTTGCCTCAGCCTCCCAAGTAGCTGGGACTACAGTCGCCCCACCACAACGCCTGGCTATTTTTTGATTGTAGTTGTCATTATTTGGCAGTCCCAGGCTGGATTCCAACCCGCCAGCTCTGGTGTACGTGGCTGGCGCCTTAGCCACTTGAGCTACAGGCACCAAGCCAAGACTTCCCTTTCCAAGTCTATACTCCTCCCCTCCCCATTTATACTTTGCTCATAAATCATAGCCCCCAGCAAGGAGCTCTGCGTTCTCTGATCTTCCCAGCCTCTGTCTGTACAAGCCCCATGATCCCTTTTGCCTGATAAACTCTTACTCATCTTTCCACATATATCTTAAAGGGTCCCTCACAGCAAGGTGTCTCTCAACCTCCAAGGCAACTAGAAATTCCTCCTCTGGACTTCTGACTTATCTCTGTTGGAACAGGTATCACACTGCTGAAACTATGTATTTACATGTTTTATTGACGGAATTTTGCCTCCCCCATAAATCCACATGTTGAAACCTGAAGTCCCCTGTAACTGTTTTTCTGAGACAGAGTCCTTTAAGGAGACAATTAAGATTAAAAGTGGTCATAGGGTGGAGTCCTTATAGGAAGAGAATGAATGGAAAGGGTATTTAATTGGCACGCAAAGAAAACTAGGTTTGCACCCTAGTTCTCCAGGAAATGTTTTTTACTAGTGAACAAATTCTTTAGCCTCTCCTAAACTCAGTTTCCTCATCTTTAAAATACTGGACTAAATGTATATAGGTCAGATTTAAGCTTCTTGACTTTTGCTGCAGTCATGGGTTCCCTAGTGTCCTTATGTCTTCTGAGGTAATTTTAAAGTTCAGGTATAGGCCAGGCACGGTAGCTCACACCTGTAATCCTAGCACCCTGCCTGTGGACTGCCTGAGCTCACAAAGTAGGAGACCAGCCTGAGCAAGAGCTAGACCCTGTTTCTAAAAAATAACTGGGCATTATGCCTATAGTCCCAACTACTTGGGAGGCTGAGGCAAGAGGATCTCTTGAGCCCAAGAGTTTGAAATTGCTGTGAGCTATGGTACCATAGCACTCTACCAAGGGTGACAAAGTGAGACACTGTCTCCAAAAAAAAAAAAAAAAAAAAAAAAAGTTCAGGTATAAAATGCAACCATGCGTTATAAAATACAGGACTTTCATGAACTGGTGATCAAAAAGTAAACTGGCATAATCCTTCTGTAGCTTTATGTGATGGTGCTATATTTGTAGAAATTCCACACTAGGAATTTATTGAAGTAAATAAGCAAAGATGCAGCCAAATGTTCATTTACAGGGATAGTCATAGCAGCACTTATTATAGCAAAGAATGGTTAGCAATGTCAAACAGCTAACAATAGGAAAATGCTTAAATTAATAATTATGCAATCTTGATGAATTTAAATCACTTTTAAGACTGCTTAATAATGTGGGAACATGCATGATTTTGCAAATACAAATGCAAGAAGGAGAAAAAAGGGAAAAGAAAAAAAGAACAAAAGAAAAAGCACCAAAGAGTTAATTATAATTGTATCTGTATGATAAGGCAGACTTATAGAAGATCTTAATAATCCTTTTTTTATATTCTCACGACATACTTTTCCTTATAATAAACAGGCTTCCCTTTGAGCATCATTATACAGTATTTAAAAAACAAAACAAAACAAAACATCACACCTCTCTGTTAGCTCTGATCCTCTGGGACATATCCAATACATTCTCAAATATTTTCTGAGATTATATTCTTAGTCCTAAAATATAGAACATCTACAATAACAATCTCATGACACTTCCCCAGGCTCATTTTCTGTTTTCCTTGTTAAAGAATTGCCCATAAAGACTCCAGAATGGGCAACCTCTGAGGCAAACTAAACATCTTTAAGCATTCTTCTCCCTCTCTATCCCCTTTATGTTGTGGAGCTGGAAGTAAGAGTGTAGCAAAAATGTTAAGGATAAAGAAGGAGTACTATTTCTTAATTTTAAGACCAGTTTATGTGATTGGCTTTTATAGTACATTCACTTTTAAAAAATGCTTCATGTTCTAATATTCTGAAATTTAAACAAAAATGCTTTGTGTTTTTATAAATCCTTGACTCTGCCAAAGGTATTCCCTAACACCTTCTGTTCTCTCCCTGATTAGTAATTTGTCAGAGAATCCTTTGAGGATTTTTTTTTTCTTTTTGAGATAGGGTCTCACTCTAGCACAGTGGTTCTCAACCTTCCTAACGCCGCGGCCCTTTAATACAGTTCCTGTGGGTCGGGACTGTAGTGCCTTGTATAGAGTGCTGTAGTGCCTTGAATAGAGTGCAGTGGCATCATTATAGCTCACTGCAACCTCAAACACCTGGGCTCAAGTGACTCTCCTGTCTCAGCCTCCAGAGTAGCTGGGACATCAGGCACTCGCCACCTGCCCAGCTAATTTTTGTACTTTTTGTGGAGACAGGGGTTTCACTAAGTTGCTCAGGCTGGTCTGGAATGCTTAGCCTCAAGCAATCCTGCCTTGGCCTCCCAAAGTGCAAGGATCACAGGCCTGAGCTGTGAGCCATCTCCACCATTAAGGATTCTCTACTCCCTTGCACTTGGGATAAAGTTATTCCAACCAGTAAGCAGTAGGGAGGACTGTTTACTGTTAACTAACTAATTCAAAATGTGGCATCAACAACATTTAGCAAGCAAGTCAATTTAATCTTCTGAAGAAATTTCATTACTACAAGACACTCTATTATTTTTTAGTATGCATATTATGAATATTAGGAGAGAAAGAAATAGAAGTCGTAATGCATCAGGGTGCTAGGTACTGAACTGAAAAGCTCCAAGAGACAAACCCAAAACACGAGCTGATACTTTTTTATTTTTCATTTAAACGTCAGTATTCCTTAAACAAAGAAAAAAACCCCACCTGGAAATAATCTAAATACCTACTATTAAGAATCCATCATAGCAGATTCAGAGAACAGATTAGATACTATAGGTACAGAATGAAATGGAGTTCTACCTCTACATGTACAAAATTATCCCAGGTATAAAGTGACAACACTCTGGGCAGAGTGTATATATATACATATGGTTACTTAGTGCATAAAATAAAGTGCATACATATATGGGCTTGTACAAAAGCAAACATTTCTAGAAGGAAACACCGTTCTTTATGAGGAATGGTAATGAGGCAAGAATGAAAGAGGACTTTACTCTTTTATTTTATGCACTTTTATCCTGTTTCTAATTCTTTTTAACACTGTGTAACCATTATTTTTATGTAAATAGATTTCAAAATGAGTTTCAAATGGGTTCTGTTTGGGAAAGTAAAGGTCAATACTTCTGAGGAAAAAAAAATTTATCCTGCTGCTGACTTTTTATAAACAACCTGCTTAAAATAGAATTTACATACCACAAAGTCACCCATTGTCAAGTGTACAGATTGTTGACTGGATTTTACGCTGAGTTACAAGCATTTATTTGGCATGAGAATTAAACTATCTTTTATGTAACCGGGCACAAGAATAGCCTTCGTGTTTAAGCAATCTCTGGGGATATCAAAATCTAAGCCAATTTTATGACTGTAACGAGGGTAAATAATACTCGGCATTCAGATTACGGGGGAAAGGTCAGAACTAAAAGATCCCACACAGCGTGAGATCCCATGGAGATTAACGACAAAAAGGAGTTCACCTGTTTTCTACGTGCGAGGGCACGTGGAGAACAACCCACAGCCTAGCTCCAGGGACCTTCATGAGTAGGTGCGACCCAGGACAGACCTGCCTCTCAAATAAAGCCAAGGGGTTTCCTTTCCTATTTGAACTTCAACCTGCCCTAACTTCCTAGTTCCTCCGCCCCCATAACTTGCCCGAAGCTGCCCGCGGAGTCCAGAGGTTTCGGGGCGCAGTCTCTCCCCAGGTGGCAGAAGGAAAATGCTGCGCCCGCACCCCGGGACCCGCTCCCCGCACCTTGGCCCTCGGTCCGCAGACCTTGACTCGGGCGACCGCGCACGGCCAGCCCTCTGCGCGGGCTCCCACCTGTGCCCCGCAGCATGTTGTCTCGGAGCAGGTCCCCACTGGAGAGGTGCTTCAGCTGGAAGTGTTTAGTGATGCGCGAAGACACGGTGCCCTTGCCCGAGCCCGGGGCCCCCATGATCACCGCGCGCAGGAGCCGCGCGGACGCCCCCATGGCCGCCGACAGAGGCCCACGCCGCGCAGACACTGGGGCTTCGGCCTGGCCCGCGCTCTCAGCCACTCACGGTCCCGGGCCGGCCGGCTGGCAGCGTTGCGGTCCCCAGGCGTTCCCGGAAGTGATGCGACGGCCAGGCACTGGGGCAGCTCCGCCCGCGCCCGGCCCAGGGGCTGCGCCCGCCCGCGCTGACCCCAGCGTGCTCCCTTCCCGGCGCCCTGGACAGCCCAGCCCGCGCAAGCCGCCCCCTCCGCGTTGCCGTAGCGACCCCGCCAGCCCTGGGCGGCCGGCGTCCACCTGCGTCCACCTGCGTCCATCCGCGCCTCCTCCGCACTCACTCCCTTGGGCCGCATCTCTGCACCTCCGCCGCCGTGGATTCCCCGAGACCTCCTTGGCTACCGCTACATGCCTTTCACTCCCCGGCGACTTGTCCTGCCCAGTCCCAACTGGATAGACCGCGCTTCTCTGGGTTCACCCTTGGCGACCCCTGAGCGCCCCTCGGTACATCCGGTCCCTCTTTGGTTACAGGACTCCACCCGCGCCGCGGCACCGTTTTCGTACCCTGTGCTTTTAGTTCCAGCCAGGCCCTGTCCAACCCAGCCCCAGTCAGATATACCGCGCCCCTTTAGCAACCCCTGGGTCCCCTTTCCCCAGCACTTCCTTCCTCTCCCTCCTTCCTGTTGCCTTGCTCCCGAGCGCCCTCTCCTCCCCCTTGATCTCAGTATATGATCACAGAGAATGACAGTGAACACAGGGGGCCTCGCTGTCCCTTTCTCAGGGAGAAAACCCCATTTTCATTGAGTGAGGTCCATTAAGGCACACGTCCAGTGAGGTGTGTCTCTTACCTCCCAGGGTCATGCTTTCAAACTCACAAGTAGCTGCTACTTTGACTTTGCAGAACCCCAAAGTACTGGCTCCTCAGCTTTCATTATTTACCTTCAGAAATGCATTCTCTCCATAAATATTTATTCAGTGTCAGATAATCTTCGTAGGGGGTCTGAGAATTCTGTTGTGAACAAGACAAAGTTTCTGCTCCTTGAAGTTTAAAGTCTTGTGGTGGAGGAAAGATCACAAGAAGGAAGCAAATGGGGAAGACAATTTGAGACAGAATGTGTGAAAATGTAAGGAGGCTATTTTAGAGCCGCTGGGCAGTAAAGCTTCGCAGAGATGGCATTTTCTCTGAGCGCTGAATTAGAATAGGGAGGGGGGAGACGCGGGGAAGGGGGAAAAGAAGGCCCTGAAACGGAATGTTCCCCATGTTCAAGAATAGAAACAGAAGACAAACATTTGAGTACCACTTTATCTGGAAAATGAGTGTAGGAGGTTAGTAAGGAGAGGTTAGAAAAACGCTTGTAAGGTTACTTACTGCAACGTCAGCCGCCGGGTAAGTGTTCAGAGAAGCTGTCCATTTATTATCATTTCTTTGTGCTAGGACATTCTGCTAAAGCAGAAAGAAGCCTCTGGGAAAATAAACATCCTTCTCAGAGGTTGCCAAATTAGTGGTCCAAATGATTTAAAAGCAGATAGAAATTATTTCAGGGAGGGATGTAAGGATTTACTCAGGGAGCAAATTTGAGCTCAGTGAATGGTGGGAGGGATTTTAATAGGTAGACAGCCCTATACTTAGAAAAGGCACAACCAGATGTGGTGGCTCATGCCTCTAATCCCAGAAGTTTGGGAGGCCAAGAGCTTGAGATCAACCTGGGGCAACCTAGCAAGACTGTGCTGTAGCAAAAGAATGAAAATGAATAAATTAAGCATGAATTTTATAAAGTTAGAAAAAAGACATGAGGGAAGCAGAGGAAGGGATTAAGTAAACAGTATAAATAGAAGGATGAAAAAACTTAAACAGAAGTTACAATGAAAACGTCTAGACAAGTACAAGTTATGCAGTACTTGAAAACCTGAAGGTATGGAGAAAGCACTTCCTTTCTTTCCAGAAAGCTGGGGACATTTGAGGTTGCAGCTCCAAAAGAGATCTGAAAGGAAAAACTTCAAACAAGCAAACAAAAGTGGCTGAAGAATCGTTTGATCATTGCAGAGGGAAAAGCTGAGTGTCAAGGTCGTAGTAACAGACCTACAAAATTCCAGCCACCTTCGGCTTAGCTAAAGGTTATTGATTACACATAAGTAAGTGAAGGCCAATCTGGGAAATCTCCTGACAAAGGTGCCTAGCACAGGCCTTTCCCCATACACAGGCATTGGTATGGGTCTGTCCTTCAGTGCTTAGCGTGCTCTAAAAAAGGAAATGATACCAGAATTCCAAGCTGTCGGTCTCGGTGGTTCAAAGAATGAAGCAATGGACCACAGGATCAGCAGTAGGTTAGGTTTTATTTAATAATACAAGTGTTACAGCTCTCAAAAAGAACCGAACCTCCTTGCAGAGCTGGATCAGCAGTAAGATGGATTTTATAATACAAGTGTTACAGCTCTCACAAAGAACCAAACCTCCTTGCTCTCCTGCTCTTTTTGGAGGTCTGTGTTTGGGCTCACTGCTTAGGGGCTTATGTAGTGGCAGGTAACCAATGAGCTTTCGGGTCTTGAAAATAGACCAATCAGGAGCAGGTTTTGGAAACAGACCAATCAGAGATGCACTGGAGGAACTGACTTGCCAGAAGTCCACATGGTGAGATAGCAAGGTGCCAGTGTCTTCTCCCCCTAGTGTCCACCCAATTCCTCCATTCACCACAACAGCAACAGGTTCAGGGCCAAGGTGGCTGGTCTAGGTGCCACCTTATCCAGCATCAGAAAGACATTGAGCTCAAATTAATATGAATCCTAATCTAATGACCAAGTATTTATACAAATTAGTTTGAATCAAATAAAGCCCAAATGAGTACTTTGCATGTAGTAGGCATTATATAAATATTTGTCAATTCAATATTAAGAATCACTCGTTTGTCACACTGAAGATTGAAATGCAAGTATCCCAAAGGTTTCGCCTAAAGTTGTCATATGTGGAGAAACTGGAAAATTGTAGCTAAATGCACCTTTATTTACAAAATTTTACAAAGAAGTAGCCAACACCTAGAGCAGTGGTTTTCAAGCAGTGAGTGGCAGCACATTGATGTGCTGTGAGAGGATCTTAGGTATGCTGTGAAAATTTGTAAAGATCGTTCATTAAATTATTTCCAAAAGAAGTTCAATTCATAGTAAATATATTCCTTTTATTTACTTTGTTTTTTGATCAACATAGTTGAAGTGTGCCACAGAAGTTTAACTGTAGGGTCAAGTGTGTGGTGAGATAAAAAAAGATTGAAAACACTGACCTGGAAAGTATTTTGTAAAATTTTTGTAATGAGTATTTTGTAAGTAATGGTACATTTATCTACAATTTCCCATTTTCCCCATGTATGGTGAGGTTAGGCACCACCTTTGGGGCACCCTTTATTTAAGGGCTCTAGAGTATAGACCTGAGGAGGAAAACTACAGGCATGTGTAATGGGTTGAATTGTATTTCCCCAAAGGATATGTTAAAGTCCTAATCCCCAGTATCTCAGAACGTAAGCTTATTAGGAAATAGGGCCTTTCCAGACCTATTCCAATTAGTTAAAATGAGGTCACACTGGAGTACAGTCAGCCCTTAATCCAATACCATGTGAAGACACAGGCGGAGAATCCACATGCTAACAGAGGCAGAGATTAAAGTTATACAGCTGCAAGCCCCAAACACCCAAGATTGCTAGCAACACCAGAAGCCAAGGGAAAGACACAAAACTGTGCCTCCCCTAGAGCCCTGGAGATTGCATAACTTTGCCAACACCTTAATTTTAAAACTGTGGCCTCCAGAATTTGGGAGAATAACTTTTAAGTTCCCTCAGCTTATACAATGTGTCACAGCACTCCTCAGAAACTAATAGAGTGTGTTTCCAGGCAGCGTGTGTGTGTGTGTGTGTGTGTGTGTGTGTGTTCGTTCATGCAACGAGGTAGATGAGAACAGAGGAACAGAAGTGTTTGAGAAGTCTTGACTAGGGTTGTAGTGGAGTAAAGAGAAGAAAGAGGTTTCAGCTATCCACTGCCATAAGAACTCACTTTTAATTTTAATGGCTTAATACAGCATGATTTATTATTTATCCCAATTGTTTAGTTCTTCTGCTCGTCTCCCCTGGGCTCACTCATGGGTCTACAACTGGCAGCTCAGCCAGAATGGCTGGAACAGTGTGGGCAGCCGGGCCTCTCTCCACGTGGCCTTTTGTCTATGACTTCTTCAGACGCTGGTAGTTTCGGGATTCCCAGATGGCGGGCATTAAAGTGCAAGCATTATACTTCCCAAACCTCTTCTTGCCTCCTACATTCTGACGAAGCAAGTCACTTTGCCAAACCCAGAGTCAGGGGGTGAGGATGCTGAGAGGTACAATTCATTAGGAACCATTATTGCAACAATCTACCACAAAAGGGCCCTGTATTAGTTATCTATCTATTGCTAGGTGACAAAACACCACAAAATTTAGCAGCTTAATATAGCAATATTTATTATCTTGCATTTTCTATGGGTCAGAAATCTGGGCTCAACTTAACTAGGTGCCTCTGGCTCAAGGTCTCACACAAAGTTGCAATCAAGGTGCAGACTGGGGCTACAGTCACCACAAGCCACAACTTGGGGAGGAGCCACTTCCAAGCTCACTCAGGCCAGATGTGGTGGTGCACATCTGTAATCTCAGCACTTTGGGAGGCTGAGACCAGAGGATCAATTGAAGTCAGAAGTTCAAGACCAGCCTGGGCAACATAGCAAGACCATTTCTCTACAAAAAATTAAAAAAACTAGTCAGGTATTGTGGCATGCACATGCCTATAGTCCCGGATTCTTGGGGGGATAAGCCCCAAAGTCTACTGGAGTGTGAAAAGTGGGGAGTTGCAGTGAACTATGATCATGCCACTACACTCAGCCTGGGTGATAGAGCAAGACTGTATCTCTAAACTGAAATCAAACAAACAAACAAAAACACCCCACTCTCATTCATGTCACTGTTGACAGGTCTTAGGTTCTCTGCAACTATTGGCTGAAACCATCGGTTCTACTACTGAGCAATTAGGTCTTGCTCTCAGGACCTAATTTCCAGTGGGGAGGGAGAAAAGATGCAAACCCATAAATAAATGTATACAATGGCAGATATTTACAGGTGCCATACAGAGAAATATAGCAGAGTGAGGGTAAGGCTGTCACTACCTTCTACAGAGTAAAGGAATG